CCTCTTAATAATAACAATTATTTTGACGATAAAACCTTGTTTTCATTAAGTTTGGGGAATTTTTTCATCATGGTATGCTATTTCTTTAGCGAATCAATGGTTGAACCTAATAAATACTGTTCGGACTGCAAGTACTGCTTTTTGTTTTTTTTCTCTTTGATATTGACTTCATTTGAATATTTTTATTTTTAAATATTTTTAGAAAGAAAATAATCCCAAAATTCAATAACGTTGCTTGTATAGCTAAAATATTTCTAGAATAATCATGTAGAAAATGTAAACAACGCAAAACGACTTATATACATTTGCTGGTACATTTTTAAATAAATAACAACACTTACCAAATAGGCTGTAAAAAACTCTTTATTTTTTCCACAATAGCGACACCAGGTAAAAGGAGATTCACAAGTGGCCTATCACGTAGGCAAAAAATATGGGCGTACTTGAATGAATGCCATCATCACATGTCAAAAGTGAGCACGGAGAAAACTGGCGACAGTAATTTATCATTTTTAAAAACAATATACCTTATATACTCGTGTAACGCGCCATCTCGTGTATCGTGCGACCCCCAAATTTTCCCCTTTAAAAATTAATTTTATCGTGTATCTCATGTATCACGCGAATTCCTTTTTTGAGAGACCAAATTACAAAAGACTAACCTAATCCCATCTTCTAGATAAATAAGTTAAAAAAGTAAAAAGAGAATGATCGCTAGTAACGCTATACTCGTTGCGTAAAGGCGTACTATTATAGACAACCGAACGAGAAACAGCTAAACATCTTATAAACGTAAACAGTGATAAAGATGCATATTCGATATATTTGTATTTTATAATACGATACTAATATGTGAATATTACATATATTATTATTTGATACAGTTAAGTAAAATATTAGTTTTACCAAAATCATGTTTATTTTAAAACAGCTGTACTTTTTGACTACAGTAAATAGATATATAGTTTGGTCAACGGCATAGCCAGGGCCAGTAGTACATACGCTAATTTTATACTTCGTGTATGATACGAACCTCTAAAAATACTTGCATATTCTCTCCATGGAGTCTATGGCCACATCACGTTGAAACACAAGTTCCCGTACGTTCACCGAAGTTTAGCAACGACGAGCTTTGTCAGTATGTAGATGGGTGACTGCTTAAGAATAGTAAATGCTGTAAACTTGGATTAGTAGGTCATGTAATGGATAATGACTCGGAATTGTTTATCGGATAGAGAGTTCTAATTTCAATTGTGTTCGTTATATTCGTTATAGCCTTGAGATAGATATGAATCCATCTTTTCTCCCCAGTTATGGGTTAATTAGTAAGACTTGTATAACTAAACCATTATTATCACCAAAAAATGAAATAAAATTATATACAAAATATTTAAATTTCGGCATTAAATCACTTATAGAGGCTGATATGCCGCTAAGCAAAAACAACCAAACAATAAACCAACCAACTGACAACCCAACCAACCAACTAACTTACTAACGAACGAACGAACGAACGAACGAACCAACCAACCAACCAAACAAACAACCAACCAACCGCCCAACCAACCAAACAACCAACTGATCAACCAACCAACCAACCAAACAGCCAATCAAACAACCAACCAATCAAGCAACAAAAGATCAAAGAACTAACTGATCAACCAATCAACCAACCAACTAACCATCATCCGGCCGATCAAACAACCAACCAACCAAGAAACCAACCGACCAAGCAATCGATCAACCAACTAACCAACCAAACAACCAACCGATCAAACAACCACCCAACTGATCAACCAAGCAACCAAGTAATCGACCAAACAACCAGCGAAGCAACCAACCAATCGTCCATATTGTTTTCAGCATTTGTCTGTAAAATTACATTTAAGACACTTTAAATTCTCTTCATCTGCGAAGAGACTGTGCAATATTAACTGCAATATAGAAAATTAGATATTACGTAACAGATTAGCATTCTTTGTTTCTAAGCATATTTCTTTTGTCTTAGTACTTTGCTTAATTTCTGGAAGACATCTTTCTCTATTCCTAAGTTCTCATTTGTCACATTTGTCACCTGTTAAAAAACTAGCCACAAAAGTTAAATTTCTGCATCTGCTTGAGTTTAATATCACCATTACTTTACTAACACATTTGGCCGTATCTTTTGCTAATATTCAAACTTTCTTTTTGTAGTTAATAGTTAAAACTTTTTTCAAGTCGCCACCAAACTCCCCAGACAGCAAACCCCTTGATTATTATATATGGGGAGCAGTTGAGCGAGAGACCAAAAAAAAAAAAAAACTCTTTGTAACACCAAAGATGAACTGAAGGCAAGGATTATGGCAGCATTCACCAACTTAAACAAGGAGACCGTCTAGAAGAGTTGCAGGAGATTCCGAAATCGTCTGAAGGCTGTGGTTGAAGCTAATGGCGATTTTATTGGGCAAATTTACTCTTTAATATTTCAAGATATTTTTTGTGTAATTATCGTAAATATATC